AAGATAGACTGGGGTTAATACTAACTAGACTCCTTTTTTTTTTTCTTTCTTCCTAACTAGACTCCTGAAAGTGAACTAAATAACAACCACTGTTCTTAGATCAACCTTTCTGCCACCTGTTTTCATCCTGATTTGGAGAAAATTAGTGGGCAAAAGTTAGAATCCTAGACAGAACAGTCAATGTCCTCTGACAGCAGGACATGAAAAAACAGAATCAAGGTAGACAGACCATCTTAAGATCCCACTAACAGGGTAAGGGACAGTAACCTAGAGCAGGGATAGCTAGCAGTATTTTCCCTCCTTCCACAGACAAGGAAACATGGTATAAATGAGGAATCAGGAGACTTGGGTTCTAGTTTCAAGTCTGCTACTAATTAGTGATGTGTTGCCTTTCCCTCACTGAGCCTCGTTTTCTCTTTCACAGTTAAATGGGAGGGCTGGACTGAATGATCTCTGATCCTTTCCTATTCTAAAAATGTCAACCATTCTATCCTTCCTTCCAAGGCCTCAAAAATATTTTGGTTGCCATTAAAAAAAAAATAAAGAAAGAAAGAATGCTCAAAATGTCACATTTATTTTCATAACATGTTCTCACTGCCAGCCTTTAGTATGTGTATGTATGTATAATCCACACAAACTAGCAGGAGCATTCATCTTATATATAATTTACCCAGTAAACATTTAACTTAAAATCAATGGGTCTTGAATCATGTACCAAATATCATCAAGTCTGCTAAACTAAAAACTTTTTTAAAAAATCATGGAAAGATTTCCCAAGAACAAAAGCTTATCAATAAAAGCACACTATTAAACCTCAACACGATGACAGACTTTTAGAGTTGGAGGAGTTCTCAGAGTGTAATCTCAATTTAAAGATGAGGAAATGAAATGACTCAGAGTCCAGGGCTTTTTTTCTACTATACCTCACTTCCTCCTCCCTTTCCTGCTTTATCAAAAGACAGCGTAGTAGCAAAAAGAACGCTAGACTGTGAGACTGACCTGGATTCCAGTCCTCATTGACATTAATTTGCTATGGCACCTTGGACAAGTCATTTCCCCTCTTTAGGCTTTGGTTTTCACAATACTTTATATGAAGAAAGTTAACTGTATGCCCCTTCTACCTGTAACATGCTAGGATCTTATTAAATTCTTATCTGATACAACAAAATACACATTCCTGAAAGAGAAAGTGGAAATTTCTAGTCAAGAGAACCAAAAAGCAGGCTGCTGCTTTTCAACAGATGCATCAGGGGCGCCTGGGTGGCTCAGTCGGTTAAGAGGCCGACTTTGGC